AGTGCTTAAAATCATCTCTCTAATCATCTCTTGGCTCATTTTGTACTTCCAGCCTCTCGGGCGACAATGTTTTTGGGTTTTCGATGACTTGACAATTGCTTAAACTATATTTACTCTATGTTTATGCTCGTAAGCAAGGCCTTGCCATAGTGGCTTGCCCACTCACCTTATCTGAGTGTCTATCTCATTTTTTATCTGATTGCTCTATGCGCACCTGTTCAGGCCACTTCTGTTTATATCTACTGCTAAAACTTTTGTCTAGTCTGTCTAGGCCTTTATGACATTCGCTTTATAATGCGTAATTATCTCAATTCACACCCCTTTTAAGTGTAGCCCAGCTGACACTGTGTTTCATTTTACCTAATATTATCTTAACCACTCTCTGGCTTTCTCTCTTCTCCTCCCGCTTTCAGAGACTCTCCGCAAATATCCGGCGCTGGCGTCTCTCACCCGTGTTCCCTCCGAGGACTACAAAGTGCCCGGCGATGAGGCGAATATAGTGCTGGAGCGTGGCGTGAGCGTGCATATACCGGTGCGTGCTATACACTACGATCCGGAGTACTATCCGGAGCCGCACGAGTTCCGTCCGGAACGCTTCGAGGTGGCCGCGCTGCAGCAGCGCCACCCCATGGCCTTCCTTGGCTTCGGCGATGGTCCGCGCAATTGCATTGGCCTGCGCTTCGGACGCATGCAGGTGAAGGTGGGGCTCATAACACTGCTCAGCTCCTACCGCTTCCTGCTGCCCGCCGATGGCTCCAGCAAGCTGATCATTGGCAACAAGAACTTTTTACTGATACCCGACCAGGGTATCAGGCTGCGTGTGGAGCCACTTGCTGTCTAGCCGCTTAGTATTACAAGTCGCGACGAGTCTCAATAAAGCGATTATCAATAAACAGTAATAAAAACCGAGACAATGCTAACAGTAGACCAAACAAATGCTGCATAAACAAATTCTGCGAAACTGAGAGCTGCTGTCGCCTGCTGTTGCATAGTTGGCAAATTTCAATCAAAGCTGTTGCGTTCGGCGGTTTGAAAGGCGATTGAAAGGCAAACCAAAATTTATAGACGCCGCAGAGCTCAGTTGCCATCCACGGGCTGGCCAACAGCTGCTCAGTCGACGCCAGCCGACACCGACGACACCTCTAGCCACTAAATCACACAAATGACACCTAAACACACACACACACACATATATATATACAGTGTGAGTGAGAGAGGGGGTGGGGGAGTCAGGCTACGTGAGCTGATCAACAAGCAGGACGGCGCCTCACTTGATGCACTGCTTATACCTGCAGCTATTGGTTGCCGAGGTGTGCATGTGCATGTGCATGTGTGTGTGTGTGTGTGTGTGTGCCGTCCACATAAATCCAAACATTTACAATATTTTGCTAATTAGCAGAATATGTGTGAATAATGAATGCACTTCATAAGCTACAGCTGAACAAAGAGATGGAGGCAGACTCAAGCAGCAAGAGTGTGTGAGAGAGAGAGCGAGAGAGAGAAGGGGAGAGGCTGATAAGGGGAGTTGGAATGGGTGCATGGATGCTATGGTAGGTGTCATATTTAATTTATGACTGCATCCGTGTGCGAGCAGCGGTCGATGCAGGCAGCATGCACATTTGCTCATTTTAGCGATTAGTTAAGGAAGCAGAGTGTCAATTGCAAGTGCAAGTGAGATAGACAGATAGAGAGAGAGAGAGAGAGAGAGAGAGAGAGAGAGTCTCTTAGCTACTGTTGCACAATTTCAGACATGTGAAATAATGTACGTGGCATTAATCAAAAGCAGGCAAAGGCAAAAGGTTTGTCGCCAGGTTGCGGATGTGTGAGTGAATGATACATAGGTAAGAATTTGATTGATTTAGAGACGGAGAGTGAGACAGAAACAGGGAGGGGAAGAGAGAGTGAAATAGTAAATAACTAGTTGACTGATGACTGATATCTGCTGACTGATGTCTGATGACTGAGGCCTGATGACTGATGATTGATGACTGATGATTGATCGCTGATGTTTGATGATTGATCTGTGATAACTGATGATTATTAAATAATGACTGATAACTAATGACATGACTGATGCTGGATGATAGGTGATTAATATTTCCAATGAATTATGATTGATCAACGATGACTGATGAGCATGGTTTATGGTTGATGATTGATGACTGATGAGTGGTGGGTGATAGCTGATGATTTAAGACTGATGATTGTTGATTGATGATAAAAACATAAGACTGATAATTAAAATCTAATGACTGATGACTTATACCTGATGCTGATTGATAGCTGATGAATATATATCTGATAGTGAATAGCAGATGGCTGATGATTAATGAGTATTAATTAATTACATATGACTGAGACATTATTGACGTCTGGTAACTATCAGTTAATGACAGATGGATATTTAAACAGATGGCAAGTGACAAAATTCATTCGCGCAATAACTTATTATCTGTCTAATCAACAATTATGACCAAGACTAATCATACTGACTAAAAACAGTTGCTTCACTAGCCAATGACACGACGAAAATCACAAAAATATGCATCGCAATACTCAAAACCGATTTTGTATAATCACATCATATTATATAAAACACATTATTCTTGAATAATTACTTAAATATTTCGTTCATTCCATGCATAAATTTATGAAGTTAGCTCTGAGGATAATTATTGTCACTTATAAGGAACGCATGCCGACTTAGAAATAATATTTTAGCAAATAAATATCAAATAATTATATGAATTGATTATATACTTACAAGTTTAAATTCATTGCACTGATAAATATAGTTGCTTGCCTTTCAGATTAAATTATTATTAATATTTTATAATTTTTTGTTTTTCAATTAATTTATAATTGATCGCAACAGATTTAATAGTGATTGGCATATGTTGAAGGACACCTTGAATATGCATATGAGCAAGTCGAAAAAGAACTTCAGATCGTTGCCAACGCACTTGAAAATCCTGGCCATCAGATGGAGGCACAGGCTAAACAGGATTATTGCTAAGTAAAACAGCTCCATCTGGAAGGGAACCGATTCGCGAGGCGACTGCTGAGCAACTGATCGACGTTTGCCTGGCGTGGGCTTTATTTAACAATAATTGATAGCAAGCTATGACTAATTGACGATCGAACGGATAATTGCTGAGCGAAGGTTTTTCAGTATGAGAGAGAGAGAGAGAATAGGAGAGCGCGATGAGTGGTAAAAGAAGTTACTCTTAAGCTGGAGAGAAGTCGACTTGAAATACATATATGTATATAAATATATGTGTATATATATGTACATATAAATAAATCTGTATATCTCTGTATGTGGCTCAGCTTTGTTCGAGTCTGCGTTTTTACTCTTTGTGCAAAGCTAGACTTCTTTATAAATATATTTTACTCTTAAGGCTTCTAATTTATTATGACGATGAGCCTCCTCTCTTATCCTAATTTCTTGTATTCTAAATTATTTCAATGTAATAATTATTTATATTTATTATTTATTTATATATATGTGACTATTTATTGTTTGTTTTACATTATTTTTTTTATCATATTAAATTAAATTAAAAATTAACAACTGAATCTCTTTTATTTCTATTTAAAAAATATTTGTATATGCATAAATAATCTGAAACTATTATATATGCCAATTATGAAATTAAAAATTGTTACATTTTATTTCTATTTCTAATGAATAAAAAAAATATAAATCATTTCGCATCGAAATTAATAACTTACAAATATTTAATGTTCTTTAAATTACTTGATTAAATACATACATGAAAAAAAATGGTATATGTGTGTATATATTTATAACAATGTATATATAAAATACAATTATAGTATCTTTGTGTCAGCTGCAATAATTCAATTTTATTTTAAAGATGTGTGAATTTTGAGGTCACCAAAAATAAACCATTTAAAAGAACTACGCAGATTGAAATAATAAATAAATAACAGTTACAACTCTCTCAAAAATATAAATGTTATAATTTTGCTACTTTTTGGATTGAAGCATTTGAGCCGTGTTAATGTAATTCGCTTGGCTGACACTATTTGATGGAAATATCTTGTTTTATGCACTTTTAATTGCCAATTTCCGGCTTACGGGCGAAATGCCGTCAGGGCTGTGCCAATAATTCAGGCTAACTTTGTCTATTAAATGCGGCGCATCGTAAAAATGCAAAAGCGAGAATTTAGTTATAATTTATTGAAGCTCCACGTTGACTTCCATGGCCCAGCTCTGGCATGGCCCAGCCAAGCGATCAGCCTTTGCATGTTCATCCGCAATTACGGGGGCTGGGAACGAGGGGGAGCTGGATTGTGGGAAGTGGGGAAAGGTGCTGCTGCAGCTGTTGTCGTCGCATCCAACACACAAAACGCGGAAGCGAGTGAAAAGCAATTATCAGGTGTCAAAATTTATATTAGTCTACGCCGAAAAAGGGACCAAAACACAAAAAAAAAGGAAGAGGAGGAATGTATGAGACGAAAAGGAAAAGCAAGGCAATAGAGGAAAAGTTGCCAAGGAAGCGAAAGAAACTTGACGCCTCAGGACTTCACAGGCGAAAAATGATTTGTGGCGCAAGTGCATTGGCACGCAATGCAAAGCCAGGACTCGAGCCGCTCCTGGCGAGCGTGGAGCGCCGAGGACAACAAGGACGTGGAGTGTGGGAACGCGCGCTCGGATATCCTTTTCAACATTTTCGCTTCATAACAATCATTTTTACGCTGCAGACATTTTTTGTTTTATTTCTGCTCTTTTGCTTTTTTAGTTTCGGTTTCTGTGTTTTGTTTTCCATTATTTATTGGCCATGTGCGTGTGCTGTGTGAAAATGATAGGCTAACCAAGGCGCGCAGGTGGGCGTGCGGGGGTGCCGCTTTGATTAGCCACCTGCCCGACCCGATCCGACCCGACCCTTCAGCGAACTAGAGCTGATATATGCGCGCAATTAAGCGGGCAAATGAGACGGGCTCGACGGGCGACTCTAGCAACTCCAGGCCGAGCAGAGCCTGACACAATCTGGTACCGTTATTGAAAAGTGCCAGCAAGGTGTAACAAAGTGTGTGACTGTGTGCATGTGTGTGTGTGTGTACCTAACGCTTAAAGTTTGTTTTTGAGTTTTGATAGTTGCGGCTGCCTGCAGCTGGGCATAAAATTAATTAAAAGCGTCAAATAAAAAATATAGCATGCTTATCGGTGGCCTAATGAATATATTTTCAATAATAACTCACCTGGCTTAGTTTTACAATATTGAATAGACTTTACATCGATTGCGTTAAGCTAGAAAATTAAATATTAATTAGTATATTGAAAGATGAAGGAGTTTATGGTTTTAAAGCTAGTATAATTAAGTTTTATTTTTTATTAATCTGTAATTCACTTCCTTTATATATTTTACTTTCAAAACATATTTTAATCTACTCTATTATAGTTCGTTAATAGAATGAAAGCATTAAATAATAAAACGATTTACTTTATTTATTTATTCAAAACAAAAAAATAAAAAATTAGCAAACCCTATTTTTATATAAAAATAATCAAGTAATTAAGAAAAATTCAATCATGTTTGCAACAAATTTTAGCTGGTTTTTTAGCAGCTGTGCCGCATGTCAATGCCATGACCAATGACAATCAATTTCTGCTTAACACGCACTCGCCAGCAGCAACAACGACAAACAACAAACTCACACATATTCAGAGCTCACGTTGTAAGTATTTTACACACAGATACACACACACACACAGTCGAAATTCATTCATAAATTCGCAAATGCCGCTCCAACGTAAAATAAGCAGAGCAAATTTCCCACAAGAGCGGCCTTCAATTCAATTCGCATTCAATGCGAGCTTCGTGAGCATTTCAATCGTGGTGAATTTCAGCAGCAACCCCCCATTGGATAATGCGCCTCACTCACACACTCGCTCCCACTCACACGCACGCAGCGAGCATTACAAATAAACCAAAAGTTAGAAAAAAAAAAGGAAAACGTGAAGCGAGCGCCCTGCCAACAAAAAGCCAAATAAAATGTAGCCAGCAACAACAAAAATCACAGTTGTCTGATTCGTTCGCGACGCAACTGCCACCGGTAAAAGCCATCCTCTCCCCCACACTCGCCTCAGCCAGCCGAACAACACCCAAGCTGCTCGAGCCTCGAGTGCCGTCATACAGCGCGACCACGACGGCAACACGACGACGAGGACACAAACGATTTGCTGCCTCCCATTCACATGTCTTCGGCTCGCTGCCGCGTTGCTTCGTGCTCGACTCGTGTCGCCTGCCAGTTTCAGTCTGACGACGACGTTCGTGGCGAGCGGTTGTGTAGCAATCGAGTGTGTCCCGGCGCGAATAACTAAACTAGAAACTCTCGAGTGATTCACGTTCGCAACAGTTTGTTGCACTGACAAAAACATGTTGAAAGATAAATGTGAATTATAAGTGTTACGGTTGCAATGTGAACTAAAAGCGCTTGAGTTTAAATCAAAAATAATAATACGCGAAATCCCTGAGAACATAAACAATTTATGAAAATGTTCTTCAATTGCTGGCATAATTAATAAGTAATTAACAACAAGTTGCATAAATGCATTGCAACAGGGAACGAGCGTAGCATACAACAACAAGTACTAATAGGAACAACAATCAGGTTTAGAGCACGCTAGCGTTTCGCTCGCGTGTTTAGACGCGCATCAGCTGCAGACGCGCGCGTTTTTTGCCGCTTGTTGGCAATTTAGTGGAGGCGAATGCTCTGCTGCGTGTTTACTGTAATTATATTTAAAAACTAGAAAGAAAGCAAGAAAGATGAAAAACTAAAGCCATGTTATTTATGCCAGTACTTATAGTTGGCCTAGCCACACCCACCCAAACACACACGCACACACTCTCAGCCCAAATGGCTGGAGACGGTCAATGGTCAGAATAGTCGCGCTCCTGTTGTTGTTGTTTCGTGGCTGAACGCGTGTTTTTGATGTGTATATGAAATATGAAATTTGCCTATAAATGTGTCTGGCACTCTGGCCATGTTTATTGCCTGCCCCGGCACACACAGACACACACACACTTAGACCGTACTTACCGCCTGTGGCATGTGTTGCATAGTTTTAGGCGTGCACAATTGCAATTGCATATTTCATGTTGGCTGCAATTTAAAGTTCATTGATATCCATAAACCGCACTCGCTAACGAAGCCGGCAAATGGCTAACGACATATCTCCAACAAAACATCACAAACACACACACACACAGACAGATAGAGACAGAGCGAGGGACACTCTAATGTATTATACATGCTGCCACATTATTACAACATTTGTTGCAAAATATGTTTGCCATAGATTTTTTCTTTTTTTGTTTCGTTCGTTCGTTTGTTTGGTCATTCCCTCTCGAACTTTGGCCATGTTTGGCCATGGGTCTCTGGCACTTTTTGTGTCATTTGCATTTTGCATAAAACTTTGTCTGCATTCGACTGCTGTGTTTTTGTTGCTGCTCTTGTAGCTATCGAGTTGATTGCGATCACATTTGATTCGATTTCGAGGGTGTCGGCGGCAGCTCAGGTGTGAGGCCGTGCTGCAAAGGAAATGTGATTTCCCAAATACACAACAGATTCGCCCCGTTTGGGCCAACATGTGCCAATGCCTAATTCAATTACAGAAAACCAACAAAACTCATTTCACTCATGCATTCCATGTTCCATTTACAAATAGATGTTATTTAGATTCATCGAAATTTCCATGAAAGATGTGAACTGTAACTGTGTTGGACGAATATATAAAATTAAACAGATGTAAATAACATGGCAAAATATTGATATATCTTAGAAATTGCAACACTATAGGGTTCATACAGAATATGATGTTGCTGCAATGAAATATACTTGTTATGTTGTATACTTTATATTTGCGGTATATTATTTTATATTCTATTAATTTATTTTATTTATTTTTAATTTTTTTTTTTTATTAACTAATATAATAATTAATATATAACATATATTATTGATAATTAATATATATTTTTTTTATTTTTAGTTATTTTGTGTATTTCTATTGGTGTTTATTTACTAATGTTATCAATAATAATAATGTGTAATAAATTAAGAACAATACATTTTTCTATTGCAAGTGGAAAATATTAGTAGGCTATTTATGTTTTCATGCAATATACGCTATAAAGCTGCAAGACAATAAGATCAAACATCTTGAATTAATTAATAAAAAAATTAACTTTAGTCTCTTAAGTAGGCCCTATTACAGTTCCTCTGCAAGTAGATTTTTTTTTTTTTTTTTTTTATTATCAAAATTTATACAATAATATTTAAAATAAATTTTGGCATGTCTTAATGTTAACACTACTAGGCTATAAGATTCTTTCTTTTCTTTGCCTATGCTTAATAAAATGTGCTTGAATTTCAATGGGACACTGACTTTAAGATCTGCCTATAAACTCGTGGAGCCCTAACACCTAAGACAGATATACCATATATTAATATGGTACGATAGATATGATGACAACACTAGAAGCTTTACATTATATCATATTGAACTATATCTTGTGATATTCACAAGCTTAAACTCATCTTTCCTTAAAAATTATCTAAATTCTAAAATCAAATTTACTGATCAGAGCACGAGTTAATAAGGTCACTCAAGAACAGCGGACTCTGAGCTAATTTGCTAAGCTATTGATTATGAATGACTAAACGACTCTCAGCTTCATGAACACGAATGGTTAATGCTTGACTAAGTAATCAAACGAGCGAGGGGGATTTGCAGTTACATAAATACCAGTAAGCACAGGCTGTTATCATTAGATAAGGGCAATACTGTTTTCGACTACATTTGGTGCCATCAAATGGAATTAATTAAGATTTGTTCTGCAATGGAATTTAAAAAAAAAATAACTCAACTCAATTTAGAGCTGCAAATTGCACAAGAAATTCCAATTTTGATTTATAATATTTGCAGTTTAAGATACACTAAACACAGGTGACAGCCATTTGAGTAGAGGAAGCATCAAATCATACAACCAGCAAGCAGACACCAGCATACACACACATGCATGCATCTCATACATACATATGCATATCACATGGCTCCAGCTCCATTACAGTGGGTGTTACATATTGAGACCCACTACAAGTTCGAGTCAGAGTCCGAGTCCGACTCCAAGTCCACGTCCTCAGTCGATATCAGTGAATATTCGCTCCAGTATTTTGACAGAATGGCAACAAAAAAGAAAGCTGCTCACCCTCTCGTCCTGCCCTTCGTCTCTTCAGTACGGAACGGACTCTTTGGCATGATGTGGCACAAAGTGCAGCCAACTCCCTTGGCTTATTATGCCACTTGCTGTCGTTGTCGTTGTTGTTGTTGCTGTTGTTGGCGTTGTTAATAACAAGCGATAATAATCAACTTCCGTGCTGAAGGCGCTTGTGTATGCGCGAGCGACAGACGGAGAAGGAAAGCAAGAGCGAGACAGCGAGAGAAAGAGGAAGTGAGCAAAAAACGTTGCATACCTCAAGGCGCCAGCGGGCAGTAGAACATTTATTCCGAGCACACATACAGAGAGTGAGAGAGAGAGAGAGAGTGAGATAGAGAGAGGGAGTAAGAACAGTGTATGCAAATTTTGATGAAAATGATTTTTGAAAAATATCGAAGTTGCATCGCGATAAAAACGAAATATATCACGTGCTAATTAATGTGTGTATGCGTATGTATGTGTGGGTGAGTGTGTGTGCGTGTCTGTGTTTGTTGCAAATTGAAAATGTATGCAATGAGTTGTACTCAATTGAAGATTTGGGGCATTCGCTTGAGGCAAGAGTGCGTGTGCGGTTCGTTTGTCCCATTTGTGGAGCAGTTTGTGTTTTTTTCTTTCCTTTTTTGCTGCTGCTGCTGCTGCTGCATAGCCTCAAGCGCGTTAATACAAACACGCCTCAATCTGACCTTGGGTGCTTTGTCTGCTAAATGACAACATCAGCAGTGGCAGCAACAATAACAACAACAACAGCAACAGCAACAGTTTCAGCATTTTCTCTGGCAGTCACAATACTTGAGCACACACAATTTGCACATCATTTAGCAGCTGATTATACAAATTGTACGGCATATAGCTGAGCTCTCGACTTTGCATGCTCGAAGCAATAAGCATAATATACGAGCGGCCGACCCACGGTCCGTGCGATATACAAAATTCCATGAGCTGCGCTTATTATAAGCCATAAATTTTGACCAAAAAGGAAAATATTTGAATAAGCCAGAGAGCTGCGTGTGGTTTGGCCAGTCGGCTCATATAAATGAATGGAAAGAGCGACTGAATTTATTTTTGCCAAAATTGAAGCGAATTTCTTTAAGTAAGATAAGGCTTATATTTATTTTTAACTATCAAAAATAATTTTTATTTAATATATAAAGTAATATTATTAATATTTATTATTATTTTATTATTATTTTATTCTTATTATCACTTTAAATATTATATTTTTTTATAAGATGTTACATAGAATAATATTTACAGATAAAACCATAAATAGGAATAAAATAAAAAAAAAAAAAAAAAAAAAAAAACATAAAAGGCTTCATTAATTATTTAATTAATAGACTTGACTCTTCAGTCTTTGATTTTTCCCAAAATGAATTCATTTTGATGCTTCCTGCTGTGAGTTGCCGAAGAAGCAAATATAGTTTGACTTACTCATTCCCAAATAAAAATTTCAAATTAAGAATTTTAAATACTAAAATTACTTTTTGTTATGTCCTCAAAATTATTCTGTTGCTGTCATTCTTACTTTAATTCAATATGTTCATCAGATTCAATAGATATATCTACCAATCGTTTACAGCTAATTAGTTAATTATAAGTCACTTTCAGTATATCCACGGATAATTATAGGCTTTCACTTCAGTTCGCTCACTCGCTATCTATAGATAGAACCATTGCATGTGAAACGGCTTCAAAGCAGAAGCCGAAATAAACACTTGGCTGGCATTAAAGTCAACTTTCTACTCGTAGGCCGCTGCCGACAGAAACAATTTTAAAATGACATTTCATTAAAATTCTTAGTGTTGTCGTATAACATTTTCGTTATTTTTTGTTCGTGCCTGTGTTTTGTATTGATTTTCACCTGCAATTGAAAGCAAAGTTTCTCCTGCGTGTCTTTTGTCCTTTGTTCACACTGCATGTCCTGAGGCCTGAGGTCTCTGCTGGCTGCCCTGAAAACTCGACTACAGAAGCTACGCTAGGGCAAGCCAAGGCAACGGCCAAGAGACCACACTAAAAATGTCTACTAAATAGGCCTAGCAATATTATTAATAATTTAGAGCATGCGGCCCATGTCAGTTTAGTTGCATGGACAGGTGGGCTGGCAGGCAGGTGAGTCAGCCGGGGTAGCCGTAGCCAGACTGATGCCTGGCACATGCTAATACCCTCGCTATTAGCTGGAAGTATTGGCCATGTAAATCCCATTTGCCGAAGCCCTAGCAGGGCTCCGTGTGTCGCCTGCGAATCTGTTTGTTCAGCTAATTGGCATTGCGGCTCTCTTTTCCATTTTTTTTTATTCATGTAACTGGAAATTAAACTTAATTCGAGGCAAATTGTCAATGTACAAAGTACAGGAAGAGCCTGTTCGAGCTGTTGCATAATACATTTCTCTGATTGAACATTCGCATGCCATAAATGTAGATTCGAATTCAAGCTCCACATTGAAATGGCATATTTATTTATTTAGTCACATAGATTTCTGTTTCGGACATTTGTTAGCTTGTTAAAAATGTGGCCCAAATGGAGAAATTACTGAATTTTTGTTTTTGTTTTTGCTTTGCAATAGACTTCTGTCTAAATGAATCGTTGATTGAGTGAATGAGCAGACACTCGTCTTAAGCCATTGCTTATATGACAAACGATATTATGAGCAGATACATTTACAATAAATTGAATCTGTAACCAAAAAGTCGGATGTGCAATTAAAAATGATTTAATTAAAATGCATCTGAAGTCACGTAATTTTTAATAAATACAATTGTATATTTGAGAACTTTGGAATTTTATATACTAAACAAGTTTTATATTTCACCTTTCTGAAAGTTTGGCCCGTACTAAGATAAAAAAAAATTATAATTTTAGTTATTATTATATAAAATATGATATATTTTGTATTTCAAAAAAAAAAAAAAAAAAAAAAAAAAA